TTTGAGAAACTGCTAAACTGTCTTCCCACAAGCCATATATGAGGATTCTGGTTTCACCACATCCTCGTCAACATTTGTTTATTTTCTGTTTTTTATTATATTAGGGTCATTTTAATGAATGTGAAATAGTATCTCATTATGATTTTTATTTGTATTTCCCTAATGATTAATGACATTGAACATACTCTTTGGCCATTTGTGTATCTTCTCTAGATAAGTACCTATTCAAGTCTTCTTCCCACTTTTCTTCCTTTTTTTTTTTTTTTTTTCCCGAGATGGAGTCTCTTTTGCCAGACTGGAGTGCCCTGGCACGATCTCAGCTCACTGCAACCTCCGACTCCTTAATTCAAGCGATTCTTCTGCCTCAGCCTCCCAGGTAGCTGGGATTACAGGCATATGCCACCACGCCCAGCTAATTTTTGTAATTTTAGTAGAGATGAGGTTTTACTGTGTTGGCCAGGATGATCTCGACCTCCTGATTTTGTGATCCATTGGCCTTGGCCTCCCAAAGTGCTGGGATTACAGGCGTAAGCCACCCACGCCTGGCCCTTTTTTTAAAGAAAGATTCTTGTTCTGTTATCCAGGCAGTGGCACAGTCATAGCTCACTGCATCCTTGATTTCCTGGACTCAAGCAGTCCTCCCACCTCAGCCTCCAGAATAATTGAGACTAGCAGGCATTTACCACCACACCTGGCTAATTTTTTGTGAAGATGGGATCTCACTAGTCTCAAACTCCTGGGCTCAAGGAGTCCTTCTGTCTTGGCCCCAAAGTGCTGGAATTACAAGCATGAACCACCATGCCCCACCTCTCCCTTCTTTTTATTTGGGTTGCTTATCTTTGTCTGACTTGTAAGACTTCTTTATATTTTCTCGATACTAGATTCTTTTAAGATACATGATTTTCATTTTTTTTCTCATTCTCTGGGTTTTTCACTTTCTTGGTAATACATTTTGCACAAAAAAATTATAATTTTGATGAAGTCCAATTTATATATATTTTTTGTTCCTCATACTTTGGGGGCTTATATTTAAAAAACAATTGCCACATGCAAGACCATGACAATTTACCCCTATATTTTCTTGCATTTTTAAAGAATAGTTTTAGCTCTTATATTTAGTTTTGATTCATTTTGAATTATTTTTTGTTTATGGTACGAGCTAAGGATCCAACTTAGTTCTTTTGTAAATGACTATTCAGTTGTCCCAGTAACATTTGTTAAAGAGATGTTCTTTCCCCTGTTGGGTGCACTTGGCACCCTTGCCAATAATCAATTGACCATAGATGTATAGGTTTATTATTGGACTCTCAATTCTGTCCCATTGATCTTTATGTCTGCCCTTATATCATTACCACGCTGTGTTGGTTACTGTTGCTTTGCAGTAAGTTTTGTGATTCGGAAATGTGAGTTCTCCAACTTAGTTCTCTTCAAGATTACTTTGGCTCTTCAGGATTCCTTACCTTTCAATATTAATTTGAGGATCAGCTTTCCCATTGCTGTTTTAAAAAAAATTGGGATTTTGGTAGAAATTGCATTTAATCTATAGCTAATACTGGGGAAGTATTAACATCTTAACAATATTAAATATTCCATTCATGAACATAGTATGCCTTTCCAACTTCTCAGTTCTCCCCTAATTTATTTACACATACAACTCTTAAACATATAACTCTTACGCATCCTTGGGCCAATGTATTCCCAAATATTTTACTCTTTTTGATGCTATTGTAAATGGAGTTGTTTTCTGAAATTTTTATGGCTAGTGTAGAGAAATACATTTGCTTTCTGTGTTGATCATGTACTATAACTTTGATGAATTCATTTATTAGCTCTAATAACTCTTGTGTGGGTTCTTTAGAATTTTCTGTGTATACTATACTATCATGACATCTTTGAATAGAGAGTGTCCCATTTCTTCCATTTGTTTTGGATGACTTTTACTTCTTTTTCTTACCTGATTGCTGTTTAGAATGTCCAGTATGATGTTGCATGGCAGTAGTGAGAGCAGCATTCTTGTATCAAGACTGATCATAGAAAACTTTCAGTCTTTTACCACTGAATAAGATGTTAGTTGTGTGCTTTTTCCTGTATGTCCTTTATCATTTTGAAAAAGTTTTTCCTTTCCTAGTTTGTTGAGTGTTTTTATCTTAAAAGAGTATTAGTATTTTTCACGTGCATTTTCTGCATGAATTGAAATCATTCTGGGATTTTCCCCCTTCATTCTGTTAATGTGATTATATTATATCACATTGATTTTCATGTGTTGAACCACGGTTGTATTCTTGAGCTAAAGTCCACTTGGTCATGATGGATAATCCTTTTAATATGTTACTCGATCTAGTTTGTTATTATTTTGTTGAGTATTTTTGCATCTATATTTTTAAGGTATATTGAGCCATGGTTTCCTTTTCTTTCAGTGTCTGTGTCTTTGACTTTGGTATCAGGATAATGCTAACCTTATAAAATGAATTAGAAGGCCAGACGTGGTGGCTCACACCTGTAATCCCAGCACTTTGGGAGGCCGAGGTGAGCAGATCACCTGAGGTCAGGAGATCAAGACCATCATTGCTGACATGGCTAAACCCCATCTCTACTAAAACTACAAAAATTAGCTGGGCATGGTGGTGTGTGCCTGTAATCCCAGCTACTCAGGAGGCTGAGGCAGGAGAATCACTTGAACCAGGGAGTTGGAGGTTGCAGTGAGCTGAGATTGTGCCACTGCCCTCCAGCCTGGTGATAGTGAGACTTCATCTCAGAAAATGAGAATGGATTAGAAAGTGTTCCCTCCTCGTACCTATTTTTTTTTTTAATAACACACTTGAGAAGGATGGATGTTCATTCTTAATATTCTTAAATATTGTGTAAGTCACTAATTAAGCCATCTGGTTTTGGGTTCTTCTTTATTGGGAGGCTTTTGATAACTGACTCAGTTGTATAACTTGTTATAGGTCTATTTATACGTTTTATTTCCTTTTGAGTAAATTGGGAAATTTGTGATTTAAATGAACAAATTCTAGGAATTTGTTCATTTAACATAGGTTATCTAACTTGTTAGCATTCAGTTGTTTACATTATTCTCTTATAAGCCATACTATTTTTTTGTATGATCAGTAGTAATATTTCCACTTTCATTTCAGACTTTTAGAGTCTTCTCTCTTTTTCCGTAGGTTTTTCAATTATATTGATGTTTTTAAACAACCAACTGTTGCTTTAATTGATTTTCCTCTATTGTTTTTCTATTCTCAATTTCATGTATAGCCACTCTAATTTTTATTATATCTTTCCTTCTGCCAGCTCTTTCACTAGTTCCATAAGGTATAAAGTTGGGTTATTGATTTGAAATCTTTTTTTTAATGTAGGCATTTTAGGAATAAATTTCCCTCTGAGGACTTTATTCATTGTATCCTATAATGTTGCATTTTTGTTTTCATTAGTTTCAGAGTATTTCCTAATTTCCCTTTGGTTTCTTCTTTGAGTCATTGATTTAGAGTGTATTATTTTATTTTCACATATTTGTGAACTTTCTAGATTTTCTTTTAGTGATTTCTAGCTATATTCCATTTGGTTAGAGAAGATAGTTTTTTTTTTTTTTTTGAGACAGAGTCTTGCCCTGTCACCCAGGGTGGAGTGCAGTGGCATGATCTTGGCTCATTGCATCTTCCACCTCCTAGGTTCAGGTGATTGTCCTGACTCAGCCTCCTGAGTAGCTGGGACTACAGGCATGTGCCACCATGCCCGGCTAATATTTTGTTTTTTTTTTTCATAGAGATGGGGTTTCACTGCATTAGCCAGGATGGTCTTGATCTCCTGAGACCTCGTGATCTGCCCGCCTTGGCCTCCCGAAGTGCTGGGATTACAGACGTGAGCCACTGCACCTGGCCAAATGTGACTCCTTTAGTTACTTTCATGTCCTTTATATAGGCTGTTACATCAGTGAGACATGTTAGTTGGACATGAACCTCTATGGTTAAACATTAGCTAGCTTAGTCATTTAGACTTAGAAGGAATTAAGTACTCCAGATCATGGCAGTAGCAGGATAGAATGGTAATAAAGTACCACCAAACTTGTAAGAAAAGTAGTCTATAACTAAAAAATAGCAAGCGAGTTTTCTGAGCATCAAAATATTTTTCACAAAGCCAGGAACTTTGAAAGCTATTGGACTTGTTTGACTCTTTGGGCATTATTTTAATAGTATTGACAAATTAATTTATAGGACTGTACTCGACTGGAAAGGGAGAGATGATGTCAGCAGGCTAATTGCTGCCACAGGTGATAACTGACAGAGACAGATAACTGTTAAATTCCAACACAGGCACTGAAGAAGATACTGGTCTACTCCTATGCCCTGTGAAGATAAAGAATACAAAACAGCTTATAGTCCTTTGAGGGGTTGTGTGTGGCAATTCAGTTAAGTTGGCATTGACCCAGCAGTCTACTGCAGCTATTTAATGCCAGGGATTAAAAATTTTAGCTATTTTGCTATTTATTACCAAGTAATTTGTGAAATATTTCCTAATTGCACCTTTGAATTTAGCCTTAATTCTGATACATACCTAAAAATAGGAATTAAGGATAAGGTGTGGAGTAAGTAAAGATGAAGTTAAGATTTGTATCACTGGGACAGGTACTATATAGAAAGATACATTTTTTTTCCCATAGTTTCCCACCTTAGAAAGGGTCCTCAGTAATTTTAAACAAAATGCCTGTTTGTTCTCTTTAGAGTTAGTTCACTTTTATTTCAAGTGGGTTTTTTTCCCTCAGATTGTCTGCTCTTCTCCTTCCTACCCTCCTAACACAAATTACATGGTCAAACATTTATTTCCAATTGATAAGTAGATATGTCTGCTATAATAAAATTTAAGTCTGTTTTTCATTTGAGAATCTGAAGGATGAATACCTGATTTGTAAGTCTGATTTCATTTGCTTTATTTGATTGGATGTATATTAGCCACAGAGTGGAGGTAAATTCGGTATCTTAACTCTATGCTGTTTCTTTTAGAGGAAGTCCACAAATGAAAGGGACACCCCATTTTAAGGAAGAACAGTGTGCTCCAGCATTAAATTTAGAGATGAGGAAAATACTGGATTTACAAGCATCCATCATGAGGTACAGTACTTTGGTTAAATTTGACATTGTGTGATGATAGTAAGCAATGTAGTTGGTTAATCGCATGACCAACAAGAAAGTTGGTTTAATTTCTTTTAATTCAAGATAACTTCTTAGTTCTAGAAATGCTTGATTAACCCTTATAAGACATTGGAAGTTTTACAGATTATCCTTAATTACATTGTAAGTATTACAACAAAGCTCATAAACTGAATATACCAAATATAATTTTATTTTGAAATTTATATTTTTATAAAGTGTAGACTTGTTTGAGTAACAGCAGTCTGTATATCCCAAAATAATACTAATAAAAGCAGGCAGATTGAGGAAAAGAGAAAGTGCCTTTGTTTCCAAAGTTGTCTTAAATTTCTGGGAAATTTACATACACTTGGAAGAAATTAAGCTTTTTCATCCAAGTATGAATAAAGGTTTTATGACCAAGTGGCCAGAAATGCCAGAACACCAAATATCTATTTTATACCCACTGGTAGAAAAAATAAGGAATCTTACCTATAATTTGGCTTTGTTTCTTTAATTGTTGTTCCATTGTTGACGTTTTGGTTGTCACTTAGTTTAGGTTCATATCTTTTCTACTGTGTAGATATAAAAAAATTTATTTAAATAATATGCAGCTGTAAAAACATTTGAGGACATTCTTTTCTAAAATAAAACTTTCCAAATATGTTGTTGGGTGAAAAAAACAAGATGTATATGATGCTACTATTTGTTTTTGAAAGGGAGATAGTGGTATCTCTATCTTGTTTAAAAGGGAGAGCATGTATTTTTCTGGAAAAATACATAAGAAACTGAGGATGAATACTGAGTAGCTACAGGACAGGTTTGAGGAAAAAGCTTTTTATTGTGTACTCTTAATAAATATTGAATTGTGTAGATATGTCTCTTATATTCACTTATGTTGAATAATATGAATGTAATGCTAATTTTTAAAATATCCCTCTGACTCATAGTTCTAAGAAAAGATTTATTTCACCATTACTCTTGTTAATGTACTGTAC